AATAAAAAAATTGTATTTTATTATATAATTTAAAGTACATAACTTAAGTTGTTTAATAAAAAATGATTCCCTTTATATTTGGAGGCTATCCCCCGTTCAACTTTTTATACAAAATAAGATTCTCAAAATAAAATACTAACAATATCAAAATAAAATACTAACAATTATATAGCTACCTTGTACGCTCAAATTCTTACAATACTAAGCGGTCAACTTCCCATATTAATACATACGGCATGGGTATGCCCCAGTAACCAGGGAAACCCATGACTTTTGGGATTTTTGCAACACTAGAACTTACCTTATCCTAAAAGAAACAAACTTCTCATATTAACAATAATACATATCTAAACAACAACAATACTATAATTACAATGTGATGTAAAATTATAAAATTATAATCAAGACACAACATTAAATGAATATAAGATAACATTAAATAAATAAATATATATAATATCACATATAAACATCTAAAAAAATTAATTATATAAGCACGTATCATATTATAAACTTATAATGTCATGTAACATTATTATTATAGCATTTTCAATATCTAAATAAATTTTCTTGAAACAGATATTTGCCACTAATGCCATGAGTCCATCTATACCAGGCAAGAAATAACAGCAATCATTTCAGAAAATAATCTATCTATTACCCACCAATGAACATTAAATTGAACAACACAACAGCAGCTCTTAACTGATTTTGTAAAATAAACTGCCTTGATTCTTTTACATCTTTTTTTTTTTTTTCTTTTAGCAAAGACCTTTTTCTTTGATCTTTAAAATGGTAAAAATACAACCAAGCTTCATATTCCTAATATGGTCCTTATTTGATCAGGAGGATGCCTTGCCAGTGATCTAGGATCTGGGTAAGCATTTTTGGGATCTATGATTGCATTATATATAAACTCATAAGCTTCAGCTAGCGACTTTGCTACCTGTAGACAAGCTTCAGACCGCAACTTTGGAACCTGCATCTGCTCAAATTCAGGCAGGGAACTCTCGCTTCCCAGAATAAACCCAAAGAAAACCTTTAGACACTCAGAGAGAGAGGCTGGATTTGTGTCTTCTATTTCTGCCAACGGGACAGCACCTGTTAAATTTTGGAAGTGATGCATCTTTGCAGACAAGCCACATCTTCTTAGAATTGTGTCAACTTCTTTTTCCACAAGAACACGCACATGATTATTAATCATGTCTCCAAGGTTCTTTGCATATGCAGCTGCAACCTCATGACCCAGTAATGGTTGTTGGATGGCACACAAACAGTTGATTAGGAAAATTTTTGAAGGAGTTTCGCTACTCTGCTTGAAACCACAATATGAGGAGGTCAAGATAAGAAACTATTACATTATTAGGACTTCAACAAGATTGAAGCCCTAAAACAAGGCCATAAAATCTTATTAAACACAACATCAAAAAGAAAGATACTGAAATTTCCGTTCTTTAGCAGAAAAACAGTTAACAGTGCTTAAAAAAACTGCATCAGGGGTAAGAGTGGGATCACAAAGAGAAGCCTAATTGTTCTATGAACTGGACAAGTAAGCACAGATATAGGCATTTGTATCTGATTTTTGCTTTGGAGTCCTATAACCATGGAATTCATATGCAAGTGGTTGGAGAAATTGAAGAAACTGAACTCAGAGGAAAGCTGGACAGGAATGATGTTGATATGAGGAAACATGAATGCACACAAAAACAAACCTTTAAAGATGGAGTAGAACTATTATTTGTCAGAATTGCATCAACCGCAGATTTGCTAAGTTGGCCAGAGTCAGAACTCATTCGAGTTCTTCTTGACGACTGGCCAACTCCCTTGGATTTGTGTGCCTCTGCTGCTTGCTCACACATCTGCACACAAGTTAATGAATTATCATAAAGAATATTTCATCAGAACACATTAATTAAATTAAATAAAAGCTTGCAGCTCTCTGTTTAACCACAATAACCTTATCACACAAGTTAGATCTGCATTAACTGACAAATTACAATATCTGTGCATGATGACTTGAATGGAGTGTAAAGCTCTATAACACAATTATTAGACTGCAATCAGGCAAAAACGTACCTGTATGATAGGATCAAGTAAAGCAGATATAACTGGATCAAAAGCAGGCTTTCTCCCTGAAGCAGGAACCATCATGCTGTTATATGTGTCAATTATCTCGAGGAGAACAGAGACTCCTTCCCTTACAGCTAGTGGTGGTGAAAGATCAACTGCAACAAGAGGGGGATAACGTAAAAGCTTTTCCCCCCGACTTTTCAGAATTTCAAAAAATGTTTTCTGAGCAGCATCCTTGAGAACGCCTAGTGTTTTACAGAGAGCTGTTTCACCCCCAAGCAAATCTGATATCTAGAAGTAAAATAATAACAATAATAAACAGTGTTCAAAATTGTTAGAAGATAAAGCATACTATAAAACAGTGATATAAAAGAAAGATAGAACACTACTTACAGTGTAGCTGTAGAATTCCAGGGTGTTACTGAGTTTATAAGAGATTATAAGACTTGGTTGTGATTGCAAAACCTGCTCAACTCTCACTTTAAATGGGCGGCAAACTCCTTCAAAAATTCTATCTAGAACAAATGTCAAATCTGCTTCTATCTTTCCAGAATCATTGTCCAAGTTCTTGGAGAATCGATTGGTTGAACCAGAATCTACTGTTGCATCTGGATCAAGCAATGCAAGCACAAGTTCTCGTTCTGATGCCAAGGCCTACATAGAGATCAATAAATGAAGCTGGAGTATGATAAATAAATAAATAAATGGAATATTTGAAAAAAGAAAAAGAAAGCACCATCAGAAGACTAAAAACTTCACACCTGATGTAACCACCCCAGCATGTCTCCTACATAACGTAAGGGATCATGGGCATGCACTTCTATTGGTCTTGGCATCCCACCAGGTCCTCCACGAGTGAGAGCACTTATAAACCTTCTAAATAAAGCATTATGTCTCATATTTGCTACCTGTATTGATTAGCAGAGACTTAGTTCAAACACTAGAAGTAGACATTTGAGTTTTAAAATCTCAAACTTGGCCCACAGTAATCACCTCTTCAGCACAATACTTGAAAAGGACAGGTCTTTCCTTAAGGCAGCGTACAGCTGTTTTTAAGAGATCACCAACTTCAGGATTATCAGTGTCACCCAGTTTCCTACACTCTGCTTGAACCCACCTGCAAAAACATGGCAAGATGAATCATACATAACACTTAACCTATCCAAGCGCCTGTAGGCTCCTTCTTGGTACAGATATACAAGGCCCATTTAAGGAGTCTTCACCTGCACAAGCGCTCGTAGGCTCCTTCTTGGTACATAGCCATCATGTCCATTAACTCCAGACCTGCACGCTGTGATCAAGTTCTCAAATCAATGATAAATTTAATATACAATTGAAATGTTGAAAAATCAAGCAAAAGGAATGGATAAGCAAAGGCAAAGATAGGCAAAGCAAGTGAAAAAGCTATTGACAAGAACCAAAAGAAGATGACAACTCCTATAGATTTTTTTTTTTTTAGGCCAGGAAAGCTCCTATATAATTGAATACCTCATTGACTTATGAAGAACTACTCTTTCAAGCAAGCCATCAGTGATAGAAGAAGAAAGAGAAGCAGGAGAGACATTATCCTAATTCCTTAAGTTACTAAATAACAAACTCTAATTTGAATTTTATTGTGCCTGTCAGCTCCTACCTTTGTTAATACAGGAATAATGTTTAAGTTACTGAAAGACTTTATGTTCAACCTTTGAAAACATATTATTCAATATTTACATGGGCTTTTAGAAATGTCTCATTAAATTTCTTCCATATTGACAGAAGGGGGAGGGGAAGGGAGGATTCTCACCTGGTGATGTGTCCTTAGAAGTATTTTGCAGTTGGCATGAATTTCTTGAACATGAGAAAGCGCCTTAAAGAAGTTTTCATTCAAATCTTCATCCCTCAGTGCATTTATCTGCAAACAGAACAAAATTTGGTGGGCAAAAAAGAAATATCATAAACCTGATAACAAATTAATCAACTAGTGGGGTTATGTAACATGATCAAACTCAGACCTCTTCATTTGAGAGCTGATAATCTTGAAGGAAGCATGACACAATCTCTTGCCTTTGTGTAGTGACTTCAAGTTCCTGTTTGAGCCTCTCGGTAGTGTTTATAATATCTCCAGTACTAGCACTACAACTGCTCAATGCCTTGGCAATCCTATGGTGATATATAAAACCAGTTAAGCTACTTGCATGCTTTTTCCATTAGAATTTTCACTTTCTTACACTAGTAAGTACAACTTACTAAGAGCATGGCAAAGGAAATTAAAATACTAAATGATATCTTTTAGAACAATAAAGAAGAAGAATCAGACAAAATATTGTTGGATAGCTAAGTAAAGTTATACAGAAGTTAATTGATATAAGCCAGCACATAGATCAGCAAATTGTAGAGAATGGATCTAGAATTAAGCTGTGAAATCTAGATCAACTCAGAGGAAAACAGGATAATGAAATTGTAAATTTGAAACATGAGCATACTTATCGCAGCACTCAGCAAGCGCATTGACCTCCTCCTCAACTCGATCCAAAGCCTGAGAAAATAGAAACGATGAAATAACTGAGCAAATGAAACTGACAATCGGAATTCATTCGGATAGGCAGAACGGGAATCACCAGCTGGGCGGACTCAGAGGCTCGGAGAAATTCGAGGTTGATGTCGAGAGAACGCTTCTCGATTGTCGATCTGAGGTTGCGGCGAGCCTGCGGAGTGTTCTCGGTGTAGAAAGTGGAGAGAGTGTTGAGCGACGCCACCACGTCCGGACTATCCGTCCGGCAATCTAACACCTTCTTCAGTTTACGGGAAAGCCCCGGCGCCAATCCAACCGTCGCCATTGCTCCTCTCCTCTTCTCTGCTGTTCCGCTCCTTCTCTGCAGTTAGATCTTAAAAACAGAAGGAGAAACTGTTTCTCCAGAAAGGGGAAGACATAAAAGCCCATTTAATATATAGGCCTGTTGGCCCAGATATATAAGGCTTTGTCTTAGTTTTGTGCCACGGTCTAAGTAATGGACCGGATTTCGCTGGACATTAATCTTCAGCCCAGCCCAGATCAGCCCAGCCCGATCTTAAACCATACTACTAGCCCGTTGTCAGTACCACGATTAGGTTTAGGGGTAATGCTGACAATTTCCTTCCAAGTTCCTCAATTTTTGTTTTTTAGAGTATCCTCTCCTGACCACCTTGGAGACATATCTCTGCATCCTGATATTGATTTTTATGTATTTAAAAAAATTAATTTTTAATTTTTAACTTAAAATCTATATTTAATTTATAAAACGATACTTATTTATTAATAAATGTAATCCTTTTAACTTTTCTTTTAAGTTTCTTGCCACATAATATTTTCCTCTTTTATTTTCTTTTCATGTTTTCAACATATAATCATTGGTTTATATAACAAAAGATTGAAGCTTAATTATACAATTTAAAGGACACATAACTTTATCATTAGATCACATGATGATAATCATTATGTTTAATCAACTACTTTAAAGTTGCATAGTCATGGTACGGTCATTCCTTTAATAGATGTGTTAGTAATTAAGAGTTTATCTCAACTTTATTAATTTTATTAAATATAAAATTTTCCTTTCCATTTTTTTTTATTTTCTTCAAACTAAACATACTTTAAAGTATGTTTAAGAGTTACAAATTATTTTCAAATAACAAAAATATGAAATAGATGGGAAGACGTTTGACACATGACAGGTGTTTTCCTTATTTTATGACCTATTACCAAATATGCAAAAAAATATATCCATGATACCAATAATTAGAAAGTAAAAAATGCATAGCAGCATGATGGTGTGAGCATGTAATAAGAATGACCTGCGAAAATTAAGTAATAAATAAATAACATTATAAAATACAATTGTGTGGAAAAAGACTAGTAAAACTCTCCACCATTTTGATTTACATTTTAATTGGAAAAAAACCGCAAACATTTGATCATCCCTTCAATGTATGTGTCAATGGCATTATCATCCCATGAAAGTGACTTTCATATGCTTCTTTTTTAAAATCCTTTTTGTTTATTATTCCTCGTAAAGTTTTTTCTCACCTTAATTGTTTTTAGCCCAAAACCCACCACGAACTCTTAGCATAGGTTATGATCTGGCACAAAGAATGAGATGAGATAAACAAAGTACATAAAGAAAAGTGTTTGAGAACAAGATTGTCATGGAATGGAATGGAAGAATATATAATTTTATCTTCTAGCTAGCTAGCTAGTGTGCTGCCTCATCTATTCCCAATTGACTAGATTTGCTTAATCAGATGGCAATCAGCAAACAACCATACACGTAAGAAAAGTATTCTTTGAAGTTATAAAAATCCATTTGGGAATGTAATTTGTGTCAATCAAATGATTAACAGTTAGTTTTAACAGTTAAATTAAATATCTTGAGTAATTTTTCTCGTTTGTGCTCGTTGCCTCAAGGGCAACAAAATCCGAATTGGTAGCAACTAATACGGGCGCTAGAAAGTGGTTGGCATGATGAAGAGATCGAAAGGAGGAGACACATCCTATCTCTCAAACCAAACTTAGATCCACCAAAAAAAAAAAAAAAAAAACTAATGAAAGGAACATTAGTAATGCGCATGCTGATCATTTCCTTTCTTCCCCAAGTCTATAAAAGTAAGGGATTTTCAATTGTCAAGGCTAACAATCATTCCAATCATCATACTTCTCCCACTAATTATTAACAACAACCTAAGATATATATATATATATATATTATATAAAATTTATTATTATTATAAACAATTTAAATAATTCAATAAAAATATATTTTTAATGAAAATAAAAAAATTTGATTTCAAATTACATAATATATTATTGAAAGTATATTAAAAAACCAACGAAAATTACTTTTTATTATACAATTTAAGATAAAAAAACAAAAAAAAAATCCCTTTATTAGCTATTTTCACATACTTTCTCCGATCAACATCAAAACAATGAGTATTTGATAGCAAAATTAGTAATTGTGCGTACCCTTTTGTAAATCATTTCAGCAATAATAACGATCGACCAAGATGCCAAAAAGACAGAAAAAAGATTAAAAAATAAATCGTGGACACGCGTGTGTCTGTGGGTACTGCCTGTCCCTTACAAAATCTTAGAATTTCTGCCAATCTAAAGTTAATTGCAGCGGAATGGGGCGTGCCATCTGCTCTGCTCCACATCATCTCCACTTTGATACTGGTTTTGAATTGTTTGGTATCTATCACATGGCAGGGCACTAACCCTAAAAGGAGGAGGACGACTCTACTATACTTATAGATATTGAGCATCCACTAACAGCAGTTCAGAATCATATCTAGTCAAGCAAAACCTGTCTCTGTGCCATTGCTGTCCTTCTACGTGGAACATGGATCATTGCTTTTTTGGCATACATGGGATCACTTCCCCTTTGGACATGTCTTCCTGTGTTTCACTTGTGAGTTGTGCCCTTACAGATTTCACACGTACATGTTGCATTCCCTGTCTTAAACCATTGACAAGATTATTCTAATTAAGAAGTGTTTGAACTATAGAAAACCATGTATATTGAAATAAACTGAATTCAAACCAGCTATTATTGAATAAACAGACTTACTTCTTTTTGTTGAGACTAATTTCTAGTAGTTGTCAATTATTAAGGATATCTTTGATGTGAGGGAAATGAAGTAAAAATAACCAATTAAATTAAGACATTGACTAAAATTTTAATTTAATCAGATGAAAATTTTATATATATGTTAGTTTTTAACAAGTTTGTCTCAGGTTGTTATCATAAAAATAATTTCCATAAACCATATATATACACATATATATAGAGTATGGTTATAGTTATACAAAAATGTGTTAAGGCCACACAAAATTATTATTTTTGTCTTTGGAAACATTCATTCAATTTGGTTTGGTTGTTATAAGCCCCAAACTCTAAACAACTGATAACTGATAAAAGTTAATATCTATTATTTTAATAGACTAAAATCAATGAAAATGAGTTAATTAGGGTTACAAGGTTAATTAAGTGGTGGCCTATAATCTCCATTAAATCAGGGCTTGAGCTGAAGCTCTTGTAATCATTAGTTCTTTTTAATTCAAACGAAACTGAAGCTAAAGGTTCTTTAATGCATGTTGTTGCTTTAGTTAAATCTTAACTCATTAAATAGACCAAACTTCTCTGATTTAAGCACTTCTTATTAACCATGGCACCTTTTAAGCCTGAGTCTAGGTTTTACAAACCCAAACCAGTTAAGGAGTCAACTCTTAAGAGTTTCCCCCGTGGGGTCTTTTCCTTCCTGAAGCTTTCTATCCTCATGTTTAGGAGTACTTGGATAATATAAAGAAAGGGACATGAGTTAGGGATGTTGGGTTAATCAAGAAGCCTGTAGTCCCCCATTAAAAACAAAGTGATTAAGTGATCATCGTCCACCCACATATGAATGGATGCGACCCTTTTTTTCTTAATCAATTGTTTTGAAAATACATCGCATGTTTTCATTTTCAATATAATTATCCTATAATTGACATTTTTTTTCACCATAAAAACTTCAAAATGAAAAACCCTCACATTTGGTTATTATTAACTTGTTTAACATGAAAATAAATAACATTAAAAGGATCAACAGTAAATTAAGGTTGTTGAAGCAATATCAATAATTACCAAAAAGTGAGGGATGTGAAGTTATATGCAATGGCTATCGCGGTCATTTAATTTGTCAAGGCACCAATAATTATTATATTTTAATTTTAATTTGATTATTAAAAATAATTACTAATTAATATTTATTATTTAATATATTAAAATTGACTTATAAATAGATATTTTTAAATATTATAATTAATTATTTAAAAAATTATAAATTAATAAAATTATAGTTAAATAAGTGTTCTTAATAAATTAGAGGGTGACAAAATCTAGTCTAAGCTATAAAAAATTGAGATAAATTGTATTTTAAGATTGTTAATTAAGATAAATTACTTATTATTTAACTTATAATATCATCACACATTAAAAATTTACTTACCAACTAAATATGATTTTAATAAAAAATTAACATGAAATAACCTTACATATTAAATAACAAATAATTTATTTTTATTTTTTAAGGACAAATTTATTACTATCTTCCTATTGGAGGTGAATTTAGCCCAAATAAGTATAAATAGGATGTGGGGTAACAATTTTTTTCATGGTACTACACCTATAAAGGGAGAAAATTAAAGTCATATTTTTCATCATTGCAAAATGACATTTAAAGAATTGGAGTAGATAACAAGTGCGTGGGGCCCATCCGGACTCCACCAAATGATTTGTGTAGATCCGCATTGCGTTAAACGAAATCTGCCATCTCACAAAACGACGGACAAACCTCCCCCCCCCACTAGAAACTGGGAGTGCGTGCCACGTGTTGACTTCCCAACTACTTTAACAACCGGCTCCTCAACCACGGTGGAATTGTGGAAATTAATATCATTAATTTTTTTATTAGAAATTAATATCATTTTTTTTGTATTAATGTCAAGTTAATTTTTCTTTTACAAATTTTTTATAAATAATTTTCTTTCAACAAGTTAAAAAAACAAGTTTATAAGCAAATATGAAGAGAAGGTCAATTTTTTTTTAGCAAGGTGAATGTTTTTTTTTAATGTAGAATTAATACTATAGTTATATTATCATGTTAAGTAAAAAGTCCTTTTAGAATACTCTTGTTAAGTTAACATAAAATGCAGTAGTGTGACGCCAATGGAAGAAAAGGAACACGAGGATCCACCAAAAACATTTTAAAGTTGATGGTGAGATTGTGTATGAAGTTCAGCTTGATGTAAAGTGTAAAACCTTGGGATTTCTCGACCAAAGTCTTCTCCCTTGCCTATGGATATTGCTAAGCAATTGGGGCTGGAAGATGTCGTGAAGGAATAGATTGGTACAGTTAATTTTTGCTAGTTTGTTTTAAGAGAATGTATTCTTTATAGCAGTTAATTTGCTGCATATTATACAATCAATTTATGAATAATAAATTTCACATTCTATTAAAAAATAAAAGAATTTATGTTAAGTAATCAATTTATAATTATAATATAATATTAAATGAATGAATATATATAATATTATAAATAAAATTTTTAATGAATTGAGTCAATTATAAAATGACATTTTATAATTATAAATTTACAATATTATTACATTTTTGTCTTTAATTCATTGTAATTGGCAAGCTATTCCTTCCACCATAAAAAAAACCCTAACTAGTTGCCAAATTGACTGCATATACCTAGCTGTAAGGTACATATTTTGGTCAATTAAGAAAAATACCTTCATTCTTTTTTCTTTTTCTTTTTCTTTTCTTGGGGGGGGGGGGTCCGGGTGATCGTAGACTACAATTAACCTAATTCAAAGCAATATGGAAGAATTTTCTTATCTTCGTTAGCAGTGATCCACTAATCATCAGGAGAATCGAGGAGAAGTTTGACATGAAAAAAACCCTGTGTGCCTTTACCAAGATTACGATACCAAAATGAATGACTAATTAAATTAATAAGGACTTTAATTAGCACTGACGAATCAATCTAGGCCGAAAAAGAAAAAGGAATTCACGACATAGTTATGTCGATATTATAATTGAAAGAGAACTGAAGGGAGAATAAATATGTCAAAAAGCAAAGGCACTAGCATATAGAAGAAAAGAAGGGGGGAAAGAAACCTTATAGCTCATGGTCATGCATATTATAAATTCGCAAGTTGGGGGGGCAGATAGGGGTGCTTTCAAGGATGATGCGCACCCAAGAATTGAAGAAGCCAAAACGTCTAATAAGATCTTTAAATTAAACATGGAAAAAAGACTGGACCCATTCCCTCATCTAGCTAAGTGCTTCTGCATAAAGAAAAAAATTAACAATGTTTTCATGGGACAGTAAATGGATTCCAATTGATGGGTTCCTCTTTAGTCATTATCTAATATTTTCTTCTCTTATTTTATGGGGCAAGTTTTTCCTTTTCTTTTTTTTTTCTCCAGCATATGATCAGGGGTTTTCTCTAAATTTTTCTTAATTTATATTTATTATGCTTAAGCAGTTGAATATGTACTGTGTATAGTGTTACCTTTGTATTGTGCTATATATC